TGGGCTGCTGTGGGATGTGCTGGGTGGTTTTTGGGAGAAGGAAGTAGGGGTGACAGCCCAGGTTGTCCTTGGGTTTGCAGAATCTGGTTTTGCTCCCGAGTGTCTTTCTGCCACACCATTAATGAGCTGACTTTGCATTTCCTGTGGATCCTGAGCAAAAGGAGTAGGGAGCTTGTAAAGCCTGGGGGGACTGAGGCAGTTTCTGAGGCTTGCAGGATGCCTTGGGTTGGAATAGACCAAAAAGGGAGCATTTCTGTCCCTCATCAGGGGCCAGTGGGCTCCATGGTGGCAGGATGGGAGTGCAGGAGTGAAGGGAAAGGAGCTTTTGGCTGCAGCTCCAGGGAGGGATTTTGGTGTGACCACTTGGTGCACTCCTCTTCCTCCCCTCAGAGTGCAGATGGGGGCAGAGAGGTTTGGTTGTGGCTGGTGTGGTTTGGGGTGATTTTGTCCCTCTTGTCTTTCCCCCTTAGACACGAGCACTGTATTGAGCTGTGCATTTGTCCAGTTAAATTGTCACTGTCCCCTAAGCTCAAGGGAAGAGAGAAAATAACTGGTGGAGTGGCATTTGTCACCAGGAGATCACAAAGCACTTGATAGATGAAGTGCTGGTTGCTTCTCTGTTTTCCAAAGATTAAAACTGAGGAAAAAATAGAGTTTGGCACCTGATGGTGGAAGAAAGTTTGTGAAGCTTCCAGCTCTTCATCTATCCTGGTCTGGCTGCTACAAAAGGAATGGGGAAGGAGACTGAGATGTTGTCATGTGTCAGAATCAGCCTTGAAAAAGCATTTCTTATGCAGAAGGTGAATTTTGGAGAATTTCATGGGGCAGTGTGGATATCCAGCTCACTTCTCTCCCTCTCCTGACAGCTATTACACACCACCAGAAGACTCTCGTGCACAGGGAAAACGAGAGAAACGAGCTGCTTCAGTGGTAAGCTTGAGTTAGTCACCACTTCACTTTGTTTTCTGAAAAATATAACTCACCTCTGCTCAGAATTGAGATCCAAAATAAAATCTGAAGTGTGGAAATCACAAATACTTACCTTGATCTCAGCTTGATACCTGCATGTGGAGGCTTTGCTGGGGATGTTAATCCAAGCCTAAGGAAAGCCCTGCCTCTCTGGGCACAGTTGGAATGCAATCACCAATCAAATGTGACTTTGGGGATTGCTGCTGGGATGTGTTTACACAACCCCTTGCAGTTACTTGCAGGATTCTCTGCCCTGTCCCCCAGCAAACCCCTTGTGCTTCTCTCTGACTTCTGTCCTTGTGCCTGGCAGGGCCAGCGTGAAGCTGAAGTCCCCCAAAGAAAGTTATTCCAGTTCCACGTGACACCTGTCCTGTCCAAAGACCTCTTTTTTGTGGACAGTGAGCCACTGCCATGCCTAGAAAAGCCAGGAGATGATCTGGCTCCACTGACAGAGGTACCTGTGCTCAGCAGCAAGGCAGTGCTGTGGCTGGTTCAGCAAAGGGCCTACAAGGCTCCTTGCTCTGGCACTGGAGCTGCACTTGGAGGCCTTCTGGGGGACTCCATGTGCTGTTCCACGAGCCCTTCCCCACTGAATCCTTTGTTCCAGGCCATGGAGAGTGAGGTCTCTGCTGCCTTTGACAGTGGTGAGCCTGAGGACATCCTGAGCAGGGCCTTCAAGCTCACTGTGACCCGTGAGGACATCTGCACCCTGCAGCCCCTGGGCTGGCTCAACGACAGGGTATGGGATCTGCACTTCTGGGAAATCCCCCCTCCCTGGGCACAGGAGTCTTCCAGGAGCTCCACTGCAGAGCCCAGAAATAGCTGTACACTCCTTATTTTGGGTACTGTGTGGGCTGCTGTTTCTGGAAGCTTTCACTTGGATGATGCAGCTCCCAGGAGTCAGTCTGGGTTATTGGAGTGGGTGTGGGGGCTGTAACCAGCAGCACAAGTCCTCCAGTGTGAAATTCTGGGAGCAAAAGCTGCCAAGCTGGAGTTTTCTCAGCTCAAGGGTGGCCAGCAAAGACATGTTGCTGTCTTTTTAATTTTGTGTCTTATTTCACATCTCCCTTCGCCTCTCTCTGTTCCAGATCATGAATTTCTACATGGGTCTTCTGGTGGAAAGAAGCAAGAAGGAAGGATATCCAGCAGTCTATGCTTTTAATACCTTCTTTTATTCCAAGCTAAGCTCTACAAGCCACAAGGGAGTAAAGAAATGGACCAAAGGTGTGGATATCTTTGAGCACGATGTCATCTTGGTGCCTATTCACCTCAGAATTCACTGGACACTGCTGGTGAGTCAAACTGGCTTTTTATTTAGGGGATGGGGAGAACAGAACTAGAGGGCAAAGTCCTTTCATGTTTGGGGTGTGCTTTGTCTAAGTCACCTTTTAACCCCAGGTCGTAGACCTCCGAGAGAAAACCATCAAATACTTTGACTCCTTGGGACAGAAAGGAGACCACATTTGTAGAACTGTCTTGTGAGTAGCTGCTTTTTTTATCCCCTTTGGTTGTTTTTGAGGGCTTTTCCCCTCCCCACAGGAAGTGTTTCTGTCCTGTGCCTTGGTGCTCTTCACTTTGTACCTCTTTTGTTCTGGTCAGTGTTTTGAATCCTGCAGAGTGTCAGAGGTGCAAGTTTTCACATGTGCTGCACATCCTGACATGTCCTTGTCAGGAAAAACCCTTCATCCAGCAGCTTTGTAGGGTGAGAGAGCCCTACAGAGACAAATCCCAGAATCACTGAGGCTGGAAAAGCCCTCCAGGATCATTGAGTGCATCCCTTGACTGATCCTCACCTTGTCACCAGCCCAGAGCCCTGTGCAGAGCCTTCCTGCCCTCCACACTCCCACCCAGCTTGGTGTCACCTACAAGGGCACTGAGGGTGCCCAATCCCCTTGTCCAGGTCATGGATAAAGATATTATACAAGGCTGGGCCCCACACTGGGCCTTGGGGAGCCCTGCTCACAGCCTCTCACTGTGTCCCTAAGATTGGAATTTTCCCTCCCCATTCCTTAAATCCTCTGCTGTGAGGACCTCTGGCATTTCACTGTGATTTATCTTCCTGTCACGTTTCAACAGCCTTTTTTGTTGGTGTTGTTGTTGCCCTAAATCAGGGAGATGAAAAGTGATTTTCATGTTGTTTTCTACAGAAAATACCTGGAAGAGGAAAGCAGGGAAAAAAGAAACATTGAATTGACTGCTTCTGAGTGGACCCTTCACAGCATGGGCACAGAGGTATGGGAGCAATGCCTGGATTTGGAATGGGAGCTAGAACTCCTTGTCACAGAGGATTTAACACTTCCCAGGCAAGCAGAGGAGGGAGATGATGTGCATTAACTGGGACTGTTCCTTGGGTTTGGGAGTGGTAAATGCATTATGGAAATAGGCTTTTAGGAGTAGGTGTGGGTAAAATGTGTGCTATGACCAGATTGCTGCTCGTTCAAGACAAATAAAACTTCTCCATGTTTTTGTACTCCTCAGGAAATCCCTCAACAAAATAATGGAAGTGACTGTGGAGTTTTTGTTTGCAAATTTGCCGATTTCATCTCCAGAGACAAACCCATCATCTTCACCCCGGTGAGAGGAGTGCAAACAGCTCCAGCCTTTCCCACACCCACACAAGAGCCAGGGAAGCTGCACAGCAGCTGGGGCAGGGGCTTGCTCCTCATGTCTGGTGTCTGCTTCTTGGGAAAGATCATGGATTCTTTGAATCCCAGGGTGGTTTGGGTTGGAATGGACCTTAAAGACCATCTAATTCCAACACCAGGATGCTGCAGTCAGTGGTTTGGAATATCTGGCCTTTGTATGTCTTGGTGAAATAGGTTTCCCCCTTGGAAAACTTCACCCTGGCTATTTTCCAATGTGGTGGTCTTTAATAAATGTCCCTGTAAAGAAATGTGGGTGTTGGGTGGTTGTGTCACCATGGTGTGAAACCCACCTCATACCCAAATGGCAGGTGCTCAAAAGCAGCTTCCCACTCAAGAATTCCCTGGGTGTTAATGGAGATTTCCTGCCTCTTTCTCCCCTGGCTTCCTATGTGATGGATTTTTCCTGTTTCTTTTCAGGAACACATGCCTTATTTCCGCAGGAAGATGGTGTGGGAAATAATCCATCAGCAGCTGCTGGGTGACATGCACTGTTAGGAAAACACTGTTCTGTAAAAGAGTAGTATTTATTTCTTATTGTTTAGGTAAGATAAGATAAATATTAACTTATGTAAGAGCCTTATTGTATGGGAAGGTTACTTGTTAATAGAGTAATTTATTTTTTAATTGAAAACTGATCTGCTGTCTCTGTGTGGTTTCTAACTTGCTCCTCATCTCAAGAAGAACAGGGGCTGTCTCCTCCCCTGGTGGCTCTGGGGACATCCCTGTGCTGCTCTGACCCAAAGACCCACAAGATCCCTGCAGAGGGGCTTTGTCTGTCTTGGCTTTCACTGCCTGGTTCAATCTGCCACAACCTCGGGGCAGATTCTCCAAAGGATGAACAATGCCAAAGACACTCATGTTTTATCCTTGCAAATAATTAATCAGGGGTAATTAATATTCTCTGAGGATGCAGAAGATCTGAGCATGAGGATGCAGCAGCTGTGAATGTTTGAGGTGTCCTTCCCTCCTTCCCTTTGGTTCCTCGTGTTTGGGGCTGCAGTTTTGACTGTCCCAGGTGCCACCAGAGCAGCATTCCCAGTGCTGGAGGGGTGGGAGGGAAGAGCCTGGCTCTGGTGCTCATGAAGGAGCATTCCCTCATTGTGGCACCTGTCAGCATCCCAGGCAGCCCCACCCTGTCCCCAAAGGCCATCCCAGCCCCATTTACTGCCTCTCCCCACTGGATGTTTATCCAGGGATCTGCAGGGAGGGAGAGGTGATGTTGTGATGGCAACACTTCCCAGGTCCCAGGGTAAAACTACACCTGGCAATGCCTACAACCCCCCATCCAGCCCTTCCCTCCCTGGCAGCAGGGAATTGGGCACCAGGGAGGAGCTCCCAGCCATGACCACCGCAAGGGACCCCAAAGAAAAGAGAGCAGGCTCAGGCTCTGGTTAGCTGGATATATTTCTCTTTTTTGTTGGTGTCTCGGGTTGGTTTTCACAGAACACTTTGCAGTAGAGGAAAACACGGATTTGCAGCCCACGGGAGCGGCGCTGGCACCGGCACCTCCGCTCCCATCCCTGCTCTGCCCGTCGGCTTCCACCGCTTCCATCCATCACTTGGATTTGCTTAAACCTTTTTTTTAAATTGTGTTTGGCTTTTTTTTTTTTCCCTTTTTTTTTTTTTTTTTTTTTGTTCTTTTTAACCATTTCTCAAGCTTTCTCCGAAGGAACAGCCACTGGCTCTCGGTTTGCAGGAGACTACGGAAGAGCTCTGGGACACGGGGGATGGTTTCCTTCTTCCACCTCGCAGCTGACTTGGTCGAGATCATTTTTCCAACTCGGTTTTTTTTTATTACAAAAATAAAAAAATGCTCCAACTATCAGTTTTACAAGGCATACAAAAATCTCTAAAAGGGCAACACAAGCGCAAGGTGCTGAGGTACGAAAACCTGAGGTAGTTTTTCTCTGTGTGTGTTTTGGGAGGGTTATTTGGGTTATTTTTCATTTGAAGCCAATTTTGCCGGTTGGGTTTTCCAGCCCTGGGCTGACAACCTCTTGTAAATCTGGTTTTTTTCACCCATTTCCCCCTCCTCTCCCTACAACAGGGATCTTTTCCACAAAGATCCCAGTCCAAAGTGGGCAGGGCTGGTGCTGCCCATCATTCTCTAGGGATGTCAGTGCTGGGCAGTGATGGAGAGAGGACAGACAGACAGAAAGGGGGGACAGAACAGATGCAAACCCCACTTTTCGAGTCCAAAGCAAAGAGGAAAAGGTGTGTGAAGGAGAGGAACAATTCCTACATGAGGAATCTTCTTGGCTCCTACAGGCCCTGCTCTTCTCAAAGCCCTTCAGAAATTGCTTTTTAACACTTAGTATTTTTTTCCCTGCTGGCAATCCTATAGCTCTGCTCTACGGTGCATTAGAGAACCAATGAACCAGCTCCTGCCATTAAACCTCTAGAAAAGCCTGCTTTTGCTAAAAACAAACAGCCCCCCCTCCCCCAAAAAATTTTTAAAAAGTGAGTTAAAAAATAAAATCTTACAAAACTTAAAAATCGGCGTTAGTTTTGTTACTGATATATTAATTCTAAATTAACGAGCGCCGCGGCCCCCCCAGGCCGGGCCAGCTCCTGCGGGGTGGAATGGGCAGGTTTGGGGAGAATTCCGAACTAAAAACCACCTCTCTGTGCCTGTGTTAGTTCCACTGACGGGGGAGCGGCGGGGAGGCGACGGAGTAAGGCGGAAGCTGCGGGATGGAGAGAGCCCCCCGTGCCCCGGCTCTGCGCGGCCGGGCTGCCGGGGGGCTCGGCGCTCTTTGGTTTGTCCCCTGGCCTGCTGGGCTCCGGCGCTGGCGGCGGGGGTTACATTCGTCGGGCGGTGCTGGCGGGAGCCTCACTTGCTGTGCTGCGAGGCCACGGCTCCCTGAGCGTGTTTGTGCTCCTGCTGCTTCACCTGCTGCACGATTTCCCTGATCTTGCGCTGGGCGGTCTGGGAAGGGGGCGAGAAACGGGGGTAGCCACACCAGAGCTGAGCCCCCGCCAAGCACGACAGCACCACAACTCTAGAGATTTTAACACCAGGCCAAGCACCCAAGTGATTCTGTGATATGTGAGGAAGTGCTAAAGCAAGGGTTTGGCTTGTTCTTCCATCACTCAAGATTTTGGGGTGTCACCATGCCCTCGCAGTCATGAACCCAGCCCGGTTAGATGGACCCAGGTGGGAAGCAGGAGCCATTCCCACCCCATGTCCAAGACACAGATTTTGGCTGAATCGAGCCGATCTTTAATGTTAATGCAGCCAAAAACCTTTCAGTGCATCCTGGGTGCACAGAAACCAGTCAGGGCAGCTCAGGGGACGCCGTGCGTGGTGGCCTTCCTCACACTGGGAATGCTGGGGGAGCCATGGCCAAAGCTTACCTGACTGGCAAAGAAATGCCCAATGATTTTGACGATGACCTCCTCGTTCTCGTCCGGGGTTTGGTCTCGCGGCACAATGACTTCTGCGCTCGTTAAGTTCTGCAGTTCGTTCACCTGAGCAAACGACAGATCCAGGTTTTGCTGGGGAACAGCCAAAATCCTCCACTGCTGGTGCCACCCCAGCTCTGACACACTCTCCCCTTGGGATGGCTGCCATCCAAGAGCCACCCCAGGACACGGGGCTGGCACTGAGACATCACTGATACCACAGAGCACCTGGCCAGAGGTGATGGGATGGACAGGGGATGGATAGGGGATGGAAAGGGGATGTCCAGCCCTCTATTCCCAGGGCAGGTGGAACCCCACACACCCCCACCTACCGTCTTGCCACCTTTGCCGATGACGCGGCCGGCGGCGAAGGAAGGCACCTTGATGTGTGCTTCAAGCTTCACTTCTTCTTTTGGGCTAAAGAAGTTTTCCTCTTTCAGCTTCCCAAATATTCGCCCCTGGGCCTGGAGAGGGCACAATAGGGACACAGAGGTGGTGGGCAGCATCCTGGAGGTGGCCTGCTGTGCCCTTCATTCCCATAGGCAATGATGTGGTCCCAAAACCATAGTCCCAAGCTGAGAAGCCCCCCTGGCACGGTGGGGACCAAAGGGATGCTCTCACCGTGCCCCTGCCCATGTCCCCAAGCCAGCCCCCACCCTGTGGCCATCGTACCTTGAACTGAGCCTCAGGTGGCCCCGTGATGATCACCATGCGCTCGATGGCCTCCGGACCTTCTGCCGGGGCGATCTGCGGAGGGACGGGGAAGGAGCGTGAGTGTGACCCCTCCTCGGGCAACACCTCCCCTCCGTGGGATGTGCCCCACACAGGGACCCCCCCATGCAGAGCCACCTCCCTACCCGAGCAGTGCTGACAATCAGGATGCTGAAGGACGGCGCCTCTACTCATTTGGGGAGCAAAACCATTCACCACGGGCTCCCTTCTCTACCCTCAGCAGTGGGAAGGGGAAACTGAGGCACAAAGCCCTGACCCAGCCCCTCATTCCCGCTCACCTTGATGGAGGCGCCAGCAAACCGTGCCAGCTGCTTGATGTGCTGCCCCTTCTTCCCAATGATGGCCCCCACTGCCTGTGTTGGGATGAACAAGTTCACAACCTCCTGCTCCGGCAGCTGCAAAGGGCACGGAAGAGCCAGAGGGTCAGGGGAACAGCTGGAGCAGGGGGCTGCTTCCCCCTGCCAGCATTCCAGGCTTGAGGAGGTGCTGGGCTGGGTTGGCCAGGGTTGGGTTGGGTTTTGTTGACTTGTGGTCCTGCCCTCCCACAAGGTGCCCAAGGGAAGACCTCACGGCAGGAGGTGCCAGGGCACTTTTGGGGAAGGCAAACTTACGGGGTGCTGATGGGGGAAGGCGCCAGCTGCGGGGGCTCCGTACAGACTCGACAGATAGGCTGAGGAGCCCTGTGGTGGGAGAGAAAATGAGGGGCAGTGGCATCAGTGATGTCCTCAAGCTGCCAGTCCCTTCCCAACACCCCCACTCCCACATGGGGAGTGTGTCACCACCAGGAGTGACACGAGGGACACAGTGAGCACTCCTCATCCCCTGAAACCCCTCCAGGAGAGCACAGGCACATCCAAGGATGAGCTGCAGCCTGGATCCTGTGCCTATGGCACAGCACGAGGCTGCAATGGGGATGGGGGCTCCCAGTTAACCCCAGTCCCTCCCCACTGCTGGTTTTTTGGCTTTGGCCTGCTGATGTTTGTATCAGAAAAAAGATCTGGCCTCACCAGGGGGCTTGAAAAAGGCCACACAAAGCTTTGGGGTGAAGGACCTCACACCAAACACTGCCCTTCAGGAGACCTGTCCCACTCCTCTCCATCACACCCATGAATAATTCCCACAGCTATCTCCCAAAGGCTGTGGATACAGGCACAGCACCCTCCCTCCACACGCTGAGAGTGACCAACCACGCCTCCTGGAGCCCTCCAGAGCCACCACATGCCCCCCACATCCTCCCAGGCACTCACCGTCCTCCTCCGCCCGCTCTGCTGCTGGCATTCCAGGGAAAGAAAACAGCACAGGTAAATTAACCCACAGCTCAGAATAAATTATTTAGGGACTAACAGAGGCAACCCATGGTGCCTGAGTGACCTGGGATGGACCTTCTCCACCAGCACCTTGGCCATCCTGTTCTCCTGGCACTGCACCATCCCTGCCCAGGCATTGTGAACAGCCTTGCCCAGGTTCCAGCACCCCAAAAACAAGGAGAGCCCTCCCCTGTGAGCTGGGGTGGAGACTGGCTCCCCACACCACAGCCCCTGGGGTGCCAGGGCAGGGTGCAGCCTGATGGCAGTGGATGCACAGGGTGGGCTGCTCGTCCCCTGCACGCCCTGTGGCCACACCAGGGGCTCTGGTGGCCACCAAGACTCGACCCACAGGGCACAACACAGCCCACACCATCACAGTCCAGTGGTGGGACTGGGGTCAGGACTGAAGACCACCTACATGGTTTTTCCATGCTCTCTTCAGAGAGCAGCACCCTTGGGACACAGCCAGTCCTTAAACACTGGTGAAACCCAGCTCAGCACAACACAGGGATGCAGCTGATCTTCTCGGTGGCTGCCACCTTCATTCCCTGCCCTCTCCACTTTGCTGCTGTGATCAGCATCTCCCCAAAATGGCTGAGAGTCAGAGCTCCCCAGGAGGTGGCTCCTATAGCTACAGTGTCCACCCAAACCCAAGAGCTCCAGACACCAGGAACACCCACACTCACTGCAAAGGGGTGGTAGGGGGTGGCAGCTGCAGCCCCTCGGGCCCCTGGCGTGGACGGCAGCATGGACAGCCCCGTGGAGAAGATGCCCAAAGCACTGAGGTTCAGTCCTGGGATCAGGTTGGCCTGTTGCTGGGAAAGGAAAGACAAGGATACAGGTGTGAAAGGTGGAGGAGTACTGGGCCTCTCAACAGAGGGATGAGCGAGGCCCAAGCCTTGCTGTAACACATTGACCTCCACGCTGAAGCTCTGGCCGCCGGCAGCGGGAGCAGGCGGGTGGGAGGGCTGAGCTTACGTTGACGGCCACCACGTCGCTCTCGTAGGCCTCGCGCAGCTTCTTCATGATCTCCACCTCGGCGCTGGAGCAGGCCTCCGTGCTGCCCTTCACCGTGATGGTGCGCTCGGGGTTGTAGATGGTCAGGTCCTGCAAACTGCCCCACGGGGAAATCCAGAGACACGGTTACACTCCTTCTTCAAGCCAAGAAAAACTCCAGGAAAACTCAAATCACAACTGAGGGCTCCCCCTGAGACAGTGTGAGAGCCAGGTGGCCTCGACCTGTCCGACACCCGGGATGAGGAACATCCACCCAGGATAGAGAATGCACATGGGAGGACACAGCTGCTCTGTTTTTTAACTCCAGCACTGCTTGTACCATGTTGGACAGAATGGGATGGCCTGGTGTCCACCAGGACTTCACTGAATCATTAAACCATGGAATCATGGAATGGTTTGGGTTGGAAGGGACGTGAAAGCGCACCCAGTCCCACCCCCTGCCACGGGCAGGGACACCTCCCACTATCCCAGGTTGCTCCAAGCCCCGTCCAACCTGGCCTGCAACACTCCCAGGGATCCAGGGGCAGCCACAGCTTCTCTGGGCAATCTACCACCCTCACAGGGAACAACTCCTTCCCAATATCCCATCTAACCCTGCTGTCTGACCGTGGGAAGCCATGCCCCTTGGTCTGTCACAGGAACTTACGGGGAGATGGTGATCTTTGTGCCCGTGTCCTGCTCAATCTTCTTGAGGTTGCGGCCCTCCTTGCCAATCAACCTCCCCACCAGGCTGTTGTGTGCCAGGATTTTCAAGGGAATCTCTTCTGCTCTAAAATGGATTTAAAAAAATCAAATCTAAAGGTCCAGCCAGGAAACACAGAAATTTCCAGCCACAGGTAGTAAGGGTGTCTTGGGAAGGAGAAGGACCACCACCACCATGGCCCACCACGCTTTGGCTGAGCCAGGAGCACTCACGATTTCGTTTCATCAGCCTCCTTCTGCATGATATCCAGGATCATGCGGCACGCTTCCGAGCACCCCTCTGGCGTGGCGTGGATGGTGATGGGCTTCTCGGCAGCGCCGGCGTTCTCCTTGCGATGGATGTCAACCCTGCGGCGAAACAACCAGCAGAGAGGAGCCCTCAGATGGGCCTGGGGTCACACAGAGATTTCTGAGAGCTCAGGAGCTGAGAAAAACTCATTTCAACACTTGCTCAAGCTTTGGGGTGAACCTGGGTCTCAGCTGCATCTACCATCACCCGGCTCACGCAAGCCCAGGCAGCGTTTGGTTTCGGGCGGTTTGGATCGGATTTGGACCGCGTTCGCCTGTAGGACCTGAGGTCCTGGAAGCTGAGGGGTGTCACAACATCAACCAGTGCATAGAGGGGGCAGAACAAATCCTCAACTGGACAAAGCCCTGAGCAACCTGGTCTATCCTCTCTGACGCCAGTCCCGCTTGGAGCAGGAGACCGGACTGGAGGCCCTGCCGACCTCCGCCTCTCTCCGCACAACACCCGAGGCTGTCCAGCGACCACGTCCTTCGGGACAGAGAGCACTTACCCGTGGGCAGCGTCTGTCACGACACGGAGGCACCCGGCAACAACAGCGCTGGTACTCACGCCCTTCCAGGGGAGACCAGAAGGCTCCCGTGCGCAGCGGCAGGGACCGTGCTCTACTCCTCTGGTCCTCCCTCAGCTCATGGCGGGAGGAGGCACGGCCTCCAGCTCGCTCCTCACGCTCAACCGTACCTGGCAAAGCCCTGAGAGAGAGGGAGAGAGGAAAGCAGGGTAGGAGACTCCCGCACCTCAACCACGCGCCTTGGACAACAGGGGGAAGAGCCTTTCTGTCTTCTCCGCGCGATCCACGCGCTCTTCCCACCGGAGGGTGATGCCGTGCGGTCATCCTGCCATCGGCCACCACCTTGGTGTCCCTGTCACTGCTGCAGCCAGGGCCAGATCTTCCGAGCAGATGTGGAAATGGCAGCTCAGTCCCTCTGGAATGCTGCCAGGGCTCAGCTCCGACACGGCGGGTCCCCTCCGGCCACGTCTCCCAGGTCCTGTCCCAACAGGATCATCCAGGGCGCTGCTGCACATGCCAGGCCAAGGGCTGCGGGGCAGAGTCACCACACAGTGCCACGCTGGGACGCTGTGGGGTCCAGCTGGGTTTGCACAGGTCAACTCTTGAAGAGCCAGCACGCTGGAACACAGATGGTGGAAGGGGAGCAGCTGGGAGAGCTTTCCCTGAGAGAAGGGCAGGGCCAACCCTGCTCCAAAGGGACCCCAGAGTGGTTCCATCCGAGCACTGAATAGGGAGGGAAGACAGCGTGATTCCCTTCACAGGCTCCATCTCTCCAGATCTCCCGTGGCTTCAGTTGGTGCTCCAAGCCATGGAGCTCCCTCAGGCTGGCCTGGAGGGTCCATTCCCAGCACGTACAGGGACACTTGCTGCGACCCCTTGGCTGGGGACAGGGTGAACACGTCACGATGGCCACATGAGGTGATGACAGACCACGCTGATGCTCCCAAGGTAGGGGGAATTGATGAGGAATCCCAACAAACCCCACAGATGGGAGCCACGCAGCTCCTTGGACCCACGAGCAGCTGAGGCTGGTGGAGAGGAGAACATGGCTGAGCCTTCATGCCAGAGAGGGACCAGGTGCCACGAAGCGCTGAATGGAGGCACTGAGGTGATGAGGACCTTGCACAAGCCTTGGAAAGGGGCACAAGCCAGGTTCCTGGCTGACCAACCCATCCCACGTCTGGATGTGTGGGCTCACTTGCCAGAGAGAAGGGATGCCAGGAAGAGGCCACTGCTTTCAGGCACGTCCCACCCCAGAGAGCTGGAGAAGGGAGAGCTCTGAAGCTCCCAGCACATCCCAGTGCCACTGCTGAACTGCTCCATTCCAACAGGAGGATGGAGAAGGGGACTTTCAGTACCTTCACCCCATCACCAGGTGCTGCAGGGAGGGATGACCAGGGCTGGGGGAGACAGGGTTTGCCAATGGTGCAGCAGGAAAAGCCTCCAAAAGGCCTTAGGGAGGGCTGGGAATGCTTCAGGGGGTGGCTGCCATGAGGGACAGCCCTCTCCACGTGTACAGTAGAGTGTGCCTGCAGGGTTATCCCGATCCCATGGCTGCTGAGTAGCCATGATCCTCTCCTCATGGAGTTCCAAGGGCTGTGGAAGGTCACCTGCTGGGGTGGGCTCTTGGTCTGCGTTTCTTCACAGAAAAAGATGGTTCAGCCTGGGGACAGTTTTTCCTCCTGGGGCTCAGAAGCATCTTTGGGATCTCTGTGTGTGGAACCAGGGGATATCCAACGTGACCAGAGGGATCCAGAAGCCAACATCGCTCTGGGGAGGAGCAGGGGCCAGGCAACAGGATGCCACCCTCGGATCATCACCGGCGGATGAGGGTGGCCTGCGCAGGGACAGAGTGTGGGGTGACACCCAAAGTGAAGGACAGGGGCTCCTGTGACTGCCTGGGATGGATTCCTGAGGGTTCCCTTCACCCAAGCCTGAGCAGAGGTAGTGCCTCACTGCAGGCAGGGCAGGAGAGGGCAGAGCACTGAGCAGGACCTTCCTCCACGGCACCGGCTCTTCGGGGCAGGCACACGGAGCCACCCCACAGGGAGGGATAATTCAGTGGCAGAAACTGCTCCAAGCAACAGCCTTTGGTTTCATGGTCTGGAGAAACTGCACCTTCCCACTTTCCTTGCTAGGCTCAGGGCTTGGAAAGGGCAAATTCCGTTCTTGGGTGGTGAGGACACAGCTACACCTGCTGCTCATCCCACCAGGACTCACCTGGAGAAGGGCTTGCAGCCAACCAGGATCTGCTCAGAGCTACCAGGTGGCCACACCCTGGGGCGAGCCAGGCTCCAAGAGCTCCTCTCCCTACTCCTCCTCTGCCCCCTTTCCATACAAACCTCTTCCTGCCAACCCAGCGGCAGGGTTTGGCTCATCTCTCTACCTCCAGCCACACTACTACCAAAGATTTGCCTCTAAAAACTCCTCTGAGAACTAGGATGCTCTGGGACAGGAGTCCTATGTGCCATGGGATCACCAGGTTCAGGATGATGAGCACAGGAGAAGACAGCTTGGGGTTAAACACAAACACACCTGGGCAGGAACAAACCATGCAGGAAAACCATGCAGAGAATGAGCAGTGAGATCAGGAGAACAGCAACAAGAGAAACATGGAAAACTTTGGCAAGACAACCCCGCTTTTTGGGGTTTTTTTCCTTTTTTAGTTCAAAAATAAACACATTAATAGCTAAAAAGGGCTTCAAACAGTTACAAAAGCCCATCCTTCTTGTGGCAGTGCTCCCACAGCATCCCTTTCCCCTCAACAGCTCTAGCCCATATGGGATGCTGCAGGAAGGGCAAATCCCAAGAACAAAGACCACTGCACTGAGGATTCACCTTTAGGATTTTATCCCCAGACTTGCCATTCTCCCTAAAGCCTCATCCCCAGCTGTTCCCATGAGGCTTTAGGAACCCATTCCAGGCCTTTTGCAGCGCGCATCCCCCTCTTGCTGCACCCAGACCACCCTGGCCAGCAGGAATGGTTTAGCACCTGAGCTCTGCCACCACCCCCTGAAGGCTGCACCCCAAGAAACCAGCAGTGGCTGGCACTCCAAAGCCCCCCAGCGCAGGGAGAACCCCAGCTGGGACCTACAGCACCCTAGGGAAGGAAACAAAACCATCGGAAGTACTTACTTGGACTGGGTTTGCTTAGTAAGGTTCTTTATGGTCAAGCCCTCCTTTCCTATGATCGCACCAACAAACTGCGTGGGCACCAGCATCCGCAGTGGGAAATCGAGCTGTTTGGGCTGCGAGGAGCCCCCCGGGGAGGAGCCCCGCTCCCTGGAAGAGTGGCCCCCGCGGCGGGATCGCTGGGGGGGCGGAGGGGAGCTCACCTCTTCATCCGGGATGTAGGAAATCTTGAAGGAATAGTTCTCAAACTGGTGGTCGCTCAGCTTCTCTATTGCTCTGCAAGGTGGGGAGATGCAGGGGGTGGTGAGGGGCTCCCCGGGGACGGGTTCCCCTCCAGCACTCCCACCACACACAGAACATGGTTCCCACCTCGCATCTCCCTCCCTCCCCACTCTGGAGAAGGTGGCCATGGGAAGCCAGAGCCCCACACTTTTCCCACGAGGAGCAAGACCCATAGCCTGGTGGGGCGTCATCCCCTTCCACATGGGCCATGCCAAAGCTGGCAGATGACTTTTCCCCCCAGCAGAGGAGGGATGGCAGCCCAGGGACCTGCCCTTCACCTGGGCAGCCCTTGCCTGGAGCTACCACACAGCATGGGAATGGTCTCACGGGCTCTTTGGACATGGCAAAGGTGGCAGAGCGGCTCCGAGCCACCAGGGAGAAGGATGCAGCACGTGGTGCCCCCTCTGCTGGGAACCCCGACTCCCTTCCTGGATGGATGAGGCTGGGAGGCAGCACCTGGACTCCTCATCCCCCAAGCCCCTCCTCAGCTGTGATATTTGGCCACGCTAGCATCTGCCAGGACCCTGCTTGGCTTCAGCTTTCCCTGCTCCTACCACATCCCACTGCTGCTGCTGACAGATCACAAGCAGCTCCTTGCCAGGCCTGAATTCCACATCCTCTGAGGGCTTCTGCAGTTTCACCATCCTTTTCCTAAGTCCAAAAAAGCCTCTTATCTCAAAGCATTGAGCACTGCTGTGCTGGGGAAACTCTTTGTCTTTATTGCCACACCTCCCAAGACCATGGTGGGATTTTTGGGGCTGTCCTGTGCAGGACCAGGATTTGGACTCAGTGATCATTGTGGGTCCTTTTCAGCTCAGGGGACCCCATGATTCTAAGACACTCATGTAATGTTTATCTGTGGTCCACAGCACATCCAGCCGAGGCTGGAGGCACCAGAAGGATTCTCCTCTGCCCTCCTGGACCAGCAGATCACTGTCCCCATCTCTGTCCTCACTTACCCAACACCATGATGGGTTAACTCAGATGGGAAGCTGGTAGAACATCCATCAGCAAATGGACTCACAAAAGCTCTTTGGGGCCTGGGATCTGCTCTTGACCATACAAAAAACACCCTGGCCACTAATAATAATAAGCTCACTACTCAGTGGCCAGTCTCCAGCACAGGGCTGAGGCCTCTACAAGACTGGAAGAAAACGTTTTGTTTGGAACCATGTTTCCACTTCTGAAATAACCCCTAATCTGTACTACCCCATCTTCCATGCCAGGGGAGAAGGCAGAGGACAGCCCAGTGGTGGGACAGCTTGGAGAAGCCTGGAAGATACCTGGGATCCCCTGGGAAAGCTGGTGTGGTGTGAAATCAAGGGCAAACCAAAACAAACCCCACTCACACTTTTGCCTCTTCCTTCGTGGCGTAGGTCACGTTGACAACGGCAGTTTCTGTGTCTGTGTTCACTGCGGGGAGCAAGAGAGGCAGGGTTGGAGCAGGGAAGCAGAGGTGTCACTGCTGCTCTCAGCATGCCCCAGGGCAGGGGATACAGCTGGGATGGGGGAGGGAGATGCCTGTCCCGTGGCACACCTGGGCACTCTGTGTTTTCCCCCAGCACAAGGACTGGGCTGGATCCAAGGCTGGATCCAAGCAGAATGCAAGGCTGGACATCCCCGACCCACCAGTGGGTCCCAAGCTACGCTCAGCTCATTTTTGCTTGCAGGGATAATAGTTTTTTCAATTTTTCAGGGACCAGGAGCACTCCCGGGAATGGTGGATGGATGGCTCATATCATCCCATCACTGGAAAGGGGGCCCCACCTCCACCAGCAGGATTTCTGTCCAAAACCCATTTCAGACCAGTGCTGCCAGTCTGGTTATCCAACTAGATTTCAGCCCAGTGGGCTTCCTGCAGCCTGGGTGGAGCTGGGGAGCAGCACTGGGAATTTTGCAGGGATGAGGACCACGCTGGACCATCTTACCTTGCTCTACATTCTCCACAGTGCCATACTGAGCTAAGAGGCCATCCAGCACCTGGGGACAGAGCAGCAAACCGGGCAGGTGAGGCCCCAAGCAGGCAGGGCAGGAGCCCACTCCACCCACAAACACCCCCCAGCACCACCCACCTGCATCCCATCGTCCCAAAGCTGACCCAGCACCCACAGCTGGCCCAAAAGCAGGCAGGAGCTGGAGCCCAGCTCAGGCTCCCTCCTGCATTAATGGGAAGTTAAAGGGTGGCCCACGTGCAGACCATGTGCTCGTGCTGCTGGAGAAGGAGATGAACGGGAAGTTTTTGGGATCAGCCACGTCTTACCTCCCACTGTAGGTGGGGAGGGATGTTTCGGATCTGGATCTTCCTGCTCCTGCAAAGACAAAGCCCTGGGTGAGGGTCTGCAGGCACCTCACAGCAGAGGGAAAAGCCTCTGGGAATCAGACAGCAGCTGTTGGCAGCTTCCCAAAGCATCCCGCTTCTGCACACCGAGCCAGGGCAGCTCATCCCCAGGGAAAGCCATTTCTCCTGGCTGTGCCCTGGTCACCACTGGGTGAAGCTCTCTCTGGAATGCTCCCTCCTCACGCTGGCTGTCAGGTTTCCAAGGAAACCTCCTGAAAGGAGCCTCTGCAGAGTCATGACCGCACAGGGATGCACAGACAGCCCTGCCCACGCTGCTCTGGGCCAGGAACAGGACCCCAGCCTGCCAGGGCCAGCCCTGCCAAACCTTGAGGGGAACTCTCCAAAAGTACATCCAGCTGAGGCTCACCACTTCCCAGCAACATGGGGCTGCTTTCCTTAGGGAAACCCAAATAAATATCCTTGTAAGCCCGAGCCTGGAGATGGCCAACACTCCCAGCCTTATCCAGTGGCACTTCCAAACACACATGACAACATGGCTCACTCCCAGCCTGGTTGTTGCTCCATTCCCAACCAGACATGGTTTCATTCCCAGCCTTGCTATGGTTGCATTCCCAAACTGTGGTTGCATTCCCAAGCTGGCCATGGCTCCGTTCCCCACCTGGCTGTGGCTGCACAGGAAGCCCTGCCAAGGCTTCCCAGGGCTAAGAGCCCCCAGACATCTCCCCAGCCTGGCTGTGAGATGTGCTGGGCAGTGACAAGTTGTGACACAGCCCAATCCATGGAGGATCCAGCCGAGCCATGAGCCACCCTGCTGCTGGAAGGTAGGAAAATCATAAAGAAAGGTTTCATAAAGCCAAGCCTGCTCTCCTTGCCAGGCCAGCCCTTTGCAAGTTCCCATGTGCAACAGTCCTAGTGAGAGCAGTTCATTAGCATAACAATCTATTTAGGTGAAACACAACTAACACCTGTATAAACTGTTTTTAGACTGTTAGACAGAAAAATGAAAACTACCTATCAATACAGGGTAACAACTTGTTACTAACCAATAAAGTAATTGGCAAGAAAACTACTGACCAACTGGAGTCACACACAAAGTCTGCAAAACTGTATTAAAATAAGTTATGTGAATTAAGAATGGCCTTTTTCCACCATGAAGAAAATGGAGTCTCACATGATTTATTCCAATACCAGCCAGATCAGCATTCCCAATCCTGCCTGGAGTCAGTCAGCTCTGCCCAATGTTCTCAGCAGGTCCAGCTGCAGGGCCCTGAGCAGAGCACAGCTGGACCACCCCTCCCAACACCAGGGCAGGCCCTCCTGGCCAAGCCACCCCCCTGCACACAGAGCCAGGTTCCAGGAGCTGAGCAGCTGCTGCAAGCTGGTTTTGGGAAGTTTTCTTTTCCCTGGGATGAGTTCAAGGAGGATGCTTGGAAGGACAGGTCCCACCAGCCTGAGAGCTCCATGGGGACACAGAGGCAGCCCCAGCTGATGGCCACCAACACCCAGGGAATTTGGGCCAAATCCTGCAGGACAAGGAGGCAGGAGGAGGTGGAAGAAGACACCAACAACCTGATCCCACCAGGAATCTTCAACCATTGGGAAACAAGACCTTCCAACTCTGGTCCCTGCTCTCACAACTCATTGCACAGACAAACCCTGAGCCCCTGACAATGATTTTGGCAGATAAAGAGTTCCTTGGGTAGTTTGGGGCCAGACACCAGGGCAAGCAAGGAAAAGGCAGGGAAAAGGATGTTTTTTGAGATGTGGGCTGTCAGGGGACACAGGGCACTTGGAAGGGGCACATCCAAGAGAAACCAGCACAGCAGGTGGACACGGTCCCTTTGCCACTCCTGGAAAAGCCCTGCCTTGAATTTAATTGCTCCAGAGCCATCATTTCCCTACTCCTCTGCCAAGGGAGATGCCAGAACAGCCCTGGTCTCCCCAGGTGCTCCCTCACCCTCCTGGCCCACCTCCCAAAACACCCAAACAGAAAGATCACAGCAGGCACCACATAACCCCACTTCCCAACAGGACACAACAGCATATTCCCACTTCCAACATCCATCCAAACCAGTGCAGAGAATCTAAAGACACCCAAAGGGCACTCAGTTCCCACGGGCAGGACTCCCAGCAGCTCAACATCACCACTCGGCATTTAAGATAAGGTTACTTATGTTAAATACTCCATTACTCCTACTGGGTGTGCTTATGGCTCTTGTAATTCCACACCTGGCTGAAGCAGTGCTGGACCACACACAGCCATCAGTGATGGAGCCAAGGATGTACATCTGGAGCCATGACAGATGGATGAGTTATCCCCAGGGGCTTGGGAATAATTCATCCATTCCCAACACCCCCCCCAGGAAAACTTTGTGGCAGAAACCCCCTTTATTTTGATTTTTGTTTTTCTTTTAGTTTCATTTTCCCAAACCCGAGGGATTGACTCCAGGGCACACACAGAACACCAGCACAGGAGCTCATCATGGCCACATTTCACCCACCCTGTTTTGCAGCAGACTGGTGGGAATTTAAGGAATGAAATAAATCCTAATAAGCAGATGGGGGAAAAACACTCAGCAGCGTGATGCAGCTGGCCCTGCTGTAGTGAGTGCCCTCAGATAACCTGGAGAGCTGCATCCCTCTGGCTCTTCCCTACCTCCACACACCCACCTCGCTGCCTCAGCAGCTTCAAGGGCTGAAGAAACCAGGCTCAGCTGCTTCTTTCCCTTCTAAATTGATCCCAAACTAGTCCTGCTCACCAGCAGCTCGAGGAGGAAGCAGCTCCTCCACCCCGGAGCAGGGTTTGGGGGCCGGAGCTGCCCCACCAACACCCAGGGAATTTGGGCCAAATCCTGCAGGACAAGGAGGCAGGAGGAGGTGGAAGAAGACACCAACAACCTGATCCCACCAGGAATCTTCAACCATTGGGAAACAAGACCTTCCAACTCTGGTCCCTGCTCTCACAACTCATTGCACAGATAAACCCTGAGCCCCTGACTACGATTTTGGCAGATAAGGAGTTCCTTGGGTAGTATGGGGCCAGACACCAGGGCAAGCAAGGAAAAGGCAGGGAAAAGGATGTTTTTTGAGATGTGGGCTGTCAGGGGACACAGGGCACTTGGAAGGGGCACATCCAAGAGAAACCAGCACAGCAGGTGGACACGGTCCCTTTGCCACTCCTGGAAAAGCCCTGCCTTGAATTTAATTGCTCCAGAGCCATCATTTCCCTACTCCTCTGCCAAGGGAGATGCCAGAGCAGCCCTGGTCTCCCCAGGTGCTCCCTCACCCTCCTGGCCCACCTCCCAAAACACCCAAACAGAAAGATCACAGCAGGCACCACATAACCCCACTTCCCAACAGGACACAACAGCATATTCCCACTTCCAACATCCATCCAAACCAGTGCAGAGAATCTAAAGACACCCAAAGGGCACTCAGCTCCCACGGGCAAGACTCCCAGCAGCTCAAGCATCACTCAGCATTTAAGGTAAGGTCACTTATGTTAAATACTCCATTACTCCTACTGGGTGTGCTTATGGCTCTTGTAATTCCACACCTGGCTGAAGCAGTGCTGGACCACACACAGCCATCAGTGATGGAGCCAAGGATGTACATCTGGAGCCATGACAGATGGATGAGTTATCCCCAGGGGCTTGGGAATAATTCATCCACTCCCAACACCCCTCCCAGGAAAACTTTGTGGCAGAAACCCCCTTTATTTTGATTTTTGTTTTTCTTTTAGTTTCATTTTCCCAAACCCGAGGGATTGACTCCAGGGCACACACAGAACACCAGCACAGGAGCTCATCATGGCCACATTTCACCCACCCTGTTTTGCAGCAGACTGGTGGGAATTTAAGGAATGAAATAAATCCTAATAAGCAGATGGGGGAAAAACACTCAGCAGCGTGATGCAGCTGGCCCTGCTGTAGTGAGTGCCCTCAGATAACCTGGAGAGCTGCATCCCTCTGGCTCTTCCCTACCTCCACACACCCACCTCGCTGCCTCAGCAGCTTCAAGGGCTGAAGAAACCAGGCTCAGCTGCTTCTTTCCCTTCTAAATTGATCCCAAACTAGTCCTGCTCACCAGCAGCTCGAGGAGGAAGCAGCTCCTCCACCCCGGAGCAGGGTTTGGGGGCCGGAGCTGCCAGCAGCACAGGGAGGATTGAGCAGCGAGTGAGGAGGTGAAGTGGGCTCATGAAACAATCCAGGATGGAGCTGTGTGTCCTCTCATGCATCCATCAGAGCAGAATCATGGGGAATCAACACAATCCTGCAGGGAAAGGGGATGGAAAACCCCCAGCCATCCACACCCTGCCAGCATCACCACTGCCGGGCACCTGCTACCTGCACTCACTGAAATCATGCAGTACAACGGAAAGCCTTAAAACTGGGGGTTTATTCCCCAGAATCAGGAGGGTTGAGGGGGTTTTGGCACAATCCCCCGCTTTTCCAGCATGGCTTCCAGGGAAATAGTGGGTAACAACCCCCTCAAAATCCTGGGACACAGAAGGACAAGCATAAAAATTTCACAGAGTTGTGAATTGAGAATGAGCCACCAACTCCCTGCCCAACATCCACGAGCCCTTCCTGGATTTTCCCTGCTGGCCCCATGGATCAACCACCCATCCCTTAGTCAAGGTGAAGCTCCAGAGGGGTTTTGTCTCCCACAAGAATTTGGGAACTAGAAACAAGCTGGCTTCAATATAAGCTCTATAATATAATAATAAAACTTCAACAAAACAATCCAATAATAAAATAGTACTGTGATATAATGCTATATAGTAATATCATACAATAATATAGAAAAACAATACATAATGGTATATAATTAATACAGTGGAATATGAGGGATGGTTTCAGCAGTCTCTGTTCTAAAAAACACAGATTTTTTTCCTACTCATGCTCTGTAATATCTTACTATAATAAAGCTTAAAGGGATTTTATCACCTTCCACCTTGGATCAATGCTGAGGGCAGAGAAAACACGCTCTGCCACCTCCTGTTTTCCA